ATCGAGATACAAGCGTCCAAATCAACAGGCGGCCATTTTGAAAAACGCCCCCAAACGGGACTTTCCCCCAATATCTGGGAGGTATATAGGAGCTATATTTTATCTAAATTGGTCCATCTTGCCAAATCCATCAAGAAACAAAGGTATCCTAAAATTAGTCACGGATCTCATGAAAATGACTCTACTAACTAAGGGAAGCATTATACTGTCATGAAGTACTGTTTTTAGGGGCATATGTGCAATTTTGCCTTCCTAAGGAACTTATTCACTCTATCAAACTTTATGTGATAAGTATATGTGATCTGCCCATATGTTATGGGTATGATATGATGTCATCATGCCCAAAATGGATGTGATATAACATCATCATGTCCATATATGGATGTGATAGGACATCATCATGTCCATATATGAGCAATTTACACAATTTGTTTAGAGTCTTGGTCAGCGGCCCAGAATATGAGATCCTTAATGATTATATTTTTTTAACAATAATTATTGCTATTATCAATTATAATAAGTAAACAAAATAAAATAAATTAAAACAAATATATGAATAATTGAGGAGCATTTTCTCTCATGTTAATGCCTGGCAATGTTATGTCAACTGATGCAAATTAGTCAATGATTGTCATATATTTTCTATGAAAGAAAACGGCTAGGAAGACAAGTAACAAGTTAATAACGTAATCAATTATAATTAATCTTGTAATTTATCAAAATCTTGTGTTAATGTAGTTAGATTGTCTTTTAATTATTTATTTAATTGATTTGTTTTTTGAGTGTGTGTGTGTGTGTGTGTGTATCAACAATAAATATGGATTATGAATTGATTTTTTTTAATTTATTTATTTTTAGGGTATTGCATGTTTTTTTGTTTTTTTAAAATTATTCTTGCCTTAGTTAATTTTTATGTCAAAACGTACATTTTCAAAATGCACTAGATTGTGTATTCATAGAGTATCTAAATGTATTATACAGTATTATTATAGTATAATTGAGGATCACACAAACATTTATTGTTGTTATTATTATCATTATTGTTGTTGTTCTTATTAATTATACTGTTATTGAATAAATAATGGCCCAATATGGAGATAGATTTTTGTACAGAAAATAGGCTCAGAAATATGTACAAAGATAACTTATAGGCCTAGTTGTGTGTTTCTTAATTGCATTAAAAGTCAGCAGTCGCTGAACTGGGGCCAATATTTTACAAAGACGCAGTGTTTACAACCATAAAGCATTATGATGATTATAAACAGTATTTTCCTCAATATTTTAAAATCATTTATTCATGAACCACTTGGAATTATATATATAAGATACAGTACTATTGTTTTTATTTGTTGTTACTATTATTGTTAGTTTTTGTTTTTTTTTAAATAGTTATTATTACTACAGTATTACCATCATTGTCATTATTATTATTGCTTTTATTATTATTATTATTATTATTATTATTATTATTATTATTATTATTATTATTATTATTATTATTATTATTATTAACATTATCATCATCATCATCATCACCGCCACCACTTATAGAAATTCATGTGCACATACATCTTCCCCTTGCTCATAAACCCGTGCCTCACCTGAAAACAGTGCCCATGTCTACACTGGCTAAATCTGCTTAAAAATCACATTTTAGTTATAACCTCTTTATTGCAGTATATACATTACTGCATTCATTCAAATAAACGCCCTGCTTTTAATAAACCCCATATAGAGCCTCATTTGGAATATACGCCTCCCCATATAAATTGACCCGTGTTTATTATTTTTCCTCAAATGAACTCTGCTTAAATGACTGCAAAAAAATTAGAAACGTTGCTCCAGCAGAATTACATTTTTCTGACATGGGATACGTCTTGCAACAATAACGGTAATTATTTTTGTACTTCTTTGAATGAGTATATATGTATCTATTTTTTACACCAAAGAAATTAAACGTTTCCCTCAAGTAAACACCCCCCCCCCAAAAAAAAAAAAATCTCAACAATAAATACCCCAATTTTTTTTTCTTTTTTCATCTTCTTTAAATTAAAATTTTCTTGTTTTGCAGTTAACCTAAATTCGAATTTTAAATTTCATTTGTGTTTCTTCCTAGGTATTATAAATTATCATAATTTATATGATATAAAACTGCACTATTATTATTGTTGTTGTTGTTATTATTATTAGTATTATTGTATATTTTATATTTTTCGTTAACTTACAGTATTACTGTAAGCATGGAGGTATAAAATGCTGTAAGGCCGCTTGTTAGCTGCAACGATTTTAATGCTTTTGTTAATCCTTGCCTCATTAGGTTTACACGGTTTTTCTGTATTGTGAGTTTTGGTTATTTTGTTTCATTTTAATGTATGTATTGTGATTTTTATAAAAAGCAAAATAAAAAATGAATGAATGATCATGCGTAACTGTTGACGAAATTATGAATTCAGTACTGTATAATTTTTAATATCCGGGAAATAAAGAGTTGGAACCTATAGAGGGCGTGCTACCGTGTATTACCGATCTCTCAAACTTTTCAAAAACGCAACAACCCGAAAATCAACGTCGTCAATCGGTCGGGAGACAATCTTCGTTCCCGGGAGGCGCCAGAAGCAGGACTAGGACTAGGCTAATTTACTTTACAGCGGGGACAGGTGGTGTTAGGCCTAGTACAGAAAACGTAAGTGTTTTGTATTAATTTTAGAGACATATTCTTTTTTTTGTGTATACGCATTTGTCAACTGAATAATTTTTATTTACTGTAAATAAAAGATAGAAGAATTAACCCCACTGAAGTTCAACCCATACAGGAGAACATGGGAGGGTGTGGTACTAATCTAAGGCCCTAGTCACTAGCTAGAGTACAGTACTAGGCCTAGTGCTAGTAGTAGTAAACAGTAAATAGACCAATGTGTGTACAGGTTTTACCGTTTACATACGTTGCATACGTATTCTGTTCTCCATGAATCAATGAACCTCAAAAAGGAGGGCAGGGCTTGCCCTAACTTTTTTTGTTAACTAGCCCACTGGGCTAGTTTACTAGAGATTTTACTAGCCCACAGACTATTTTACTAGCCCACAGGCAGGAAAACATTTTGTTTCAAAATATTTATTAGCGACAATTAAATTTGAAGGTTGATTTGCAATTTCATAATTTCTG